GAGAGAGAGAGAGAGAGAGAGAGAGAGAGAGAGAGAGAGAGAGAGAGACGTAAGAGAGATAGAGTTTTACCTATTTTATTATTATTATTATTATTGAAATGTTAATAAAATGTAAAAAAAATGTAAAAGTAAATAAATAAGGGTATAACCGTCTTTTCAAATTTTTTTGGACTAAAAACCCAGAAAAACCTTGATTTTGGATATTCTGTGCAAGCTGGAAACTTTTTTGGACCCCATCCAAAGATTTTTGCAAACCACAAGGACCAAATTTACAGTAATGTGTTTGACAATCTCAAAAACAATTTTTAGAATGACTTTTTTATTAACTTCAAAAAACTAATTTTAAAAAACATATAAAACTTGGTTTTTGAATATGCTTTTGGCGTTTTACCCAAAATTACTTTAAAAATGAGTTTTTAAATAAAACACCTTTTAATTATTGACTTATTCATCATAAAAGTTAATCCAATCAATTTTTAAAAATCTCATTTTACCATCAGTAAACATTTTTGTCTTCAAAAAGCACTCCCAGAAACCCTCCTTATAACCAAGTTGATTGTCATCGAATTTTTGGAAAAATAACAAACTGTTTATCAATAAACTACGGAAATAAAGCAACTTGTGTCTTGTGAAGTATCAAAGTGTAAGGGTTTAGACTTTAGAGTTTAGACCAATAGATTTGATGATATCATCACACTCGAGCTTTTATGGGGCAATTGAAGAATCGACACCCAAATATTTATTCTTTGACAGTATTTTCAGTTTGATCCACAACAATGAAGACACCAATCTCCGCATCGAAACGATACGTTCATCGCCTTCTTAAACCCCATAAATATTTCACGACCACCCATCTCCGCCGCCTCTCCGTTGCACCTGATTCAACGCAACCACCTTCACAAGAAGAATTGACGGAAACCACTATTACCCAGCTGAAGATCACCGAGGATTGGACAAGCAACACCAATCTCCACCACCAACTCCTCTCTCTCTACCCCCTCAATCTCTCATCAAAATCGCTCGTCACCTCGAAACTTCAAATAAAGCTCTTAAATTTTTCCATTTCATTCATGACAACCAATCTCCGTCTCTTTCTCAACTACCGTTACCTTCAATATTCCAAACTGTTATCGAGCTAGCAATGCGTGAAGAAGATTCAGTTCCCCTTGTTGATTTATTCAACCTTTCCAAGGAACTAAAGGTCCCCCTCACCTCCAACTCAGCAATCCTGTTAATTAGATACTTTTTTCATGTCAAAAAGGTTCAAGAATCTCTGCAATTGTATAATGAATTAGAACCAGATGCGAAAAACACCAATGTGAGAAACACATTACTGGGTTTGTTGTTGAGATCTAACAAATTTGAGGATGCACACAAGCTGCTCGATGAAATGCTTCAACCAGATACTAAGTTTCCCCCCAACGAGACTACATTAAGCGTTGTCTTTTCTGTGTTGCTTCGATGGAATTGTGGGAAAGACGATGAAAAAATTCTTGGTTTGATCCCAAAATTTGGAATACATGGTGTGTTTCCCTGTAATGTTTGGTTAACTCAATTAATCACTAGGTTATGCAGGAGTCACAGAAATGATAAAGCTTGGGACTTGTTGCATGGGTTAATAAAGTTTGGCAAACTTGAAGCTGGACCATGTAATGCACTTTTATCAGGGTTGTCAAGAGAGCGAAACTACAAGAGGATAAATCTTGTATTGAATGAGATGAAGGAGAATAACATAAAAGCCAGATATTGTCACCTTCGGGATGTTAGTGAATCACCTGTGCAAAGCTCATAGGGTAGACGATGCATTAGATATGCTTAAAAAGATGAAGGAAGGAAGTGATGGAATCTCCATAAAACCAGATGTGGTTCTTTACAACACTCTAATCGATGGTTTATGCAAAGTGGGAAGGCAAGAAGAAGGTTTCTTGTTAATGGAACAAATGAAATCAGAACATAATTGTGCTCCAAATGTTGTAACCTACAACTGTTTGATAGACGGGTTTTGTAAATCAGGTGAAATCGAACGTGCACACGAGCTTTTTGATCAAATGAACAAAGAGAACATTGTTCCAAATGTGATTACAATAAACACTTTGGTAGATGGAATGTGTAGAAATGGAAGAATCAGTAACGCAATGGAGTTCTTTAGAAAAATGCAAGAAGAAAAGGGTATAAAAGGAAACGCAGTTACTTTTTCTACATTGATTTCTGCTTTTTGCAATGTGAATAACATCGATAGAGCAATGAGACTGTTTGATGAGATGGAGTCTTTAGGGTCTCCTGATGCACTTGCTTACTATAGTTTAATTTCTGGTTTGACTCTAGCTGGAAGACCAGATGATGCTGCTTTTATTGCTTCAAAAATGAAAAAATACGGATTTTTACCGGATCTTTTAACCTACAACACTTTAATCGGTGGATTTTGTAGAAAAAAGAAACTTGACAAAGCGGTTGAGATTCTTAAAGACATGGAAGATTCCAAGATCAAACCTGATTCTGTCACCTACAATACTCTAATTTCATACTTCACCCAAAATGGGGACTTTGAAACTGCTCATAAGTTCTTGAAACAAATGGTAAAAGACGGAAATGCCCCTACAGTAGTGACGTATGGTACTCTCATCCATGGGCATTGCTTGGCTGGGAATCTTGATGAGGGTTTAAATCTTTTTGAGGAAATGCTTAGAACATCAAAGGTTGTTCCTAATAATGTCATATATAATATATTGATTGATTCTCTTTGCAAATGTGGGAAAGTTGATGATGCTCTTTCATTAATGGATGGGATGTTAGAGAAAGGTGTTAGACCAAATACTACAACATATAATGCGATGCTGAAAGGGCTTTCAAGTAGAAATAGGTTGAAAGATGCAAGTAGGCTTATGAATCAGATGACAACTCAAGCTTGTAATCCAGATTACATTACAATGGAGATTTTGAATGATTGGTTTTCTGCAATTGGTGAAGTTGACAAGTTGAAGCAATTTGTGCAAGGATTTCAAGTGTCTTCTTCTGCTGCTTAATACTATTTATTTTTTTTTGTTAAATTGATTATGAATAATTATGATTTTATCCATGTTTTTTTGAGTTCTATTTATGTTCTTTAAAATGCCGTTGATTTCTTTTTTTGAGGTTTTAAAATGATTCTTTTTGTATTTGGTTGACCTTTTTCATCTTACATCATTATTATTAGTTGGTGGCATAAAGTTCTCTATTTGATGCAATTGGTGCTACAAGTAGAAATGCTCGTCCTATAGAATCCTCACTTATTCTTTGTATTTTAAGAAAATATCTACAAAAGAAAAAAAAGAACTTTGTGCATCAAGATTTTCTTAGTTTTAAGAGTGGAGTTCTTATTCTTTGTATTTTCATGATCTTTCTTTTAAATTTCTGCTTGCTCACCAACCATCTAGCTATATGAGTACACATAGTGTTAGAATCTTTTTATACACATACACACAATAATAGTTATATGTAACAAAAAGCAACACGGTATCTATATGGCATGGTAGATTTTATAAGGGAAAATGACTTGTTAGGGTAATTATCTTTTCGTCTTGTTTACGTTTAGACAATTTTTTTTGTACACATTTGACTATTTAACTTGTTAAATGTGTTAACATATTATCAGTGTCACCTGTTATAGCAGGTGAGGATGGTAATATGTATAGCAGGTGACAATGATAATATGTGAACACATTCAACAAGTTAAATGATTAAATGTGTACAAAAAAATTGTCTAAACGCAAACAATTTTTATTTATTTATTTATTTATTTTTACAAATTTCGTAAGACTTTTTATAATTTCTTACAACATTTTTATGATATTTTTTTCTTATAGGTTTTTCTAATACAATGTTTTAAACTTTGCTTATAACTTCTTTTTAACTTTTTTATTCTTTCATATAATTTTAATACAAGTGCTTTTAAACCAAATATTTTAAATTTTCTTACAAGTTTTTAACCTTTTTTTTCATACATTTTTTATGACTTTCATACAATTATTTCTAAACTTTCTTTTACAACATTTTTAAAGTGTTTTCACAGATTTTGTATGACAATTTAATACTTTTTTATAACATTTTAAAATACTTCCGTTAAATACAAGTCTAAAACTGTAATGACGTAAAAATTTCAAACAATTTTTCTCATTTTAAAAACAAAATATGTCTCATTTCATCATTCTCAAAATCACATGTGTCTCAAATGTCAACAAATAAAACATAAATCCCAGAATCATAAAACCATCTCTCCCCAGTGTGTACAATCATGCCGATGCCTTGCCGCGATCCTCGGAACTACCTGAAACACATATCACATAACACGGTAATCATAAAGCTTAGTGAGTTCCCCAAAATACCACACACCGCACAACAACCACTCGAGGCTTTACTCAATAAGACCCTCTGCTCAATGTGTCTCAGTGGCACCCTCCGGTTCCACAACTCAGATGGACCCTCTGGTCCCTCAACTCAGCAGCTCAATATAATACACAGTAAATATATCATATAACAAATAGCAGGATATCTCAATACACAGCTCATTCACATAAGACTCTCTGGTCACACATAAAATTACCACTCAAGGTAAGTATAGCGAGAAGACTCACCTCGTCAGATAGCTAGTAAAAATCTGATGCCCGAACTCCTCGATCTAGCCTCCGTCTATCACAAGGATAAAATTTCTAATTAATACACTCCTTACATTCTCATTCCTAGAAAATGGGTGGAAGATCATTCCACCCTTCCCTGACCTCTCTTAATCAGTTTGACCAAACCCTAAGGTCAACTGAAGTCAACTCCAGTCAACAGTCCAATATTGACCAGACTCGCCGAGTGCACTCGTGTGACTCGGCGAGTTCATGCGTATCCTCTGGATTCCCCTTAAGGCCTCACACGACTCGTCGGGTTAACCTCCAACTCGACGGGTAATCACTGGGTCACGAATCGCGGGGCAAATCCGACCCGACTCTTCGAGTCATCTCATGGACTCGGCGAGTCGTCTCCATTGCATCACTCATATGGCCTTCTGAAGTCAGATCCGGAACTTTAACTCATAGATCTGGCCCTCTAGCATCCAAAAGTTACGTAAAGGTCTGATCTTGGGGTTCATGCATGGTGTATATTGCTCTATATACCATTTTTGGCCCTCTTAAAGCTTCATAGCTTCAAAACCCCAAGGTTATCTAGACATGGCTAGCTACTTTCTGGTTCTCTGGACCTCACAAGGTCCAGATCTAAAGAATAACTCGAGAAAGGGTTTGGATGCACCCAAAACCCCATCAAAATGGTGATACAAGCCCTAACTTAACAACCAAAGGAAAATTTATCCAAACACAAGGAAGGTAAGAGCTTATACCCGATATGAAGCTTGAAGTGAAGATGAAACTGATCCCCCCCAACTCTCCTCTGAGATTCTTGCAACACCCTTGATCCTCTTCTCAAAGAAATGACCTCAAATTAGCCTCTTTCCTCTCTAACTCACAAATGACTTTAGGGTTTCTCTCAAGGGACGAAGACACTGATGGGAAGGGGCCAAGGAGGCCATAAGTGCCTTTAAATAGGCCCAAGCCCAGGAAAATTAGGGTTTTCTCCTCCAGCGCTGACTCGTCGAGTCGGCTCTCTGACTCGTCGAGTCCATTCATTTTCCACGTCACCAAGTCGCGATCCTACTCGACGAGTTGAGGCGCCAACTCGTCGAGCCACTCCTCGTATCTCAAAATAAATACTCAATTTATCATACCTGGAAATCCGAATGTTGCAATTCTCCCCCACTAGGATTAGACTTCGCCCCCGAAGTCATGCTCCTCAAATAGCTCTGGATGCTGCTCTCGCATCTCGGACTCCGGCTCCCAAGTCATTTCGGACCCTTTCCGATGTTGCCACTGAACCTGAACCATGGGCACTTCTTTATTTCTCAAAACATTCACCTTTCGATCCATAATCGCGATTGGTCTCTCAATATAATTCAGGCTCGCATCAACCTGAATATCCTCCAATGGCACGACTGCTGTCTCATCAGCTACACACTTTCTCAGCTGGGACACGTGGAAAGTATCGTGGATTTGGCTCAATTCAGCAGGTAGCTCTAAACGATATGCTACCTTACCCACTCTAGCGGTCACCCTGAAAGGACCGATGTATCGGGGCCCCAGCTTGCCCCTCTTCTTAAATCATATTACCCCTTTCCATGGGGATACCTTCAGGAGAACGAGATCTCCAACCTGAAACTCAAGTTAGGATCGTCGCCTGTCCGCATAACTCTTCTGGCGACTTTGAGTCGTCAGTAATCTCTATCTGACCTGCTGAATCTGCTCAGTCGTCTTGAGCACTATCTCAGTGCCACCCATCACTCGCTGCCCCACCTCTCCCCAACAGATGGGGGTCCGACACATCCTCCCATAAAGAAGATCAAATGGAGGCATGCCGATACTGGAGTGGTGGCTGTTGTTGTAAGAAAACTCTGCTAAGGGCAGGTATGTGTCCAACTTCCACCGAAGTCCATAACACACGCTCGAAGCATGTCCTCGAGCGTCTGAATCGTCCGCTCACTCTGTCTGTCTGTCTGTGGGTGGTAGGCTGTGCTGAAATGCAATCGCGTTCCCAATTCCTCATGAAACTTCTTCCAGAACCTGGAAGTGAAACGCACATCCCGATTGGACACTATAGATGTCGGCACCCCATGTCGAGCCACCACCTCCCTCACATATATCTCTGCCAGCCTCTCAGCAGAAGAGCTTTCCCCGATAGCAAGAAAGTGAGCGCTCTTCGTCAACCGGTCCACATACACCCAAATCGCGTCGACACCCCGCGTGGTCCTCGGCAATCTGGTGATAAAATCCATAGAAATTTGTTCCCATTTCCACTGGGGAAACTCCAGTGGCTGCAACTTGCCGTGAGGACGCTGGTGCTCGGCCTTAACCCGACGACAGGTCAAGCACCTCTCGACTACCCACGCAACATCTCTCTTCATGCAGGGCCACCAATAATCCCTCTTCAGGTCCAAGTACATCTTAGTGTCCCCGGGGTGGATAGAGAATCTCGATCTATGCGCCTCCTCCATCAGCGTACGCCGCGCTCCGCCTGTATAGGGCACCCAAATCCTTCCTCGGAAGGTCAAAAGTCTTTTGCTGTCCGTCACAAACTCGGACACCTGCCCAATCACCCGCTCCCTCTTGCGGTTCTCCAGTCTCACGGCCTCCACTTGGGCCTCTCGAATGATATCTAAAACTGGGGTCATCACTGTCATCCTCATACACACGTCTCGGATCGGAGCACTCTATGCTCTATGGCTCAGGGCGTCGGCTACCACATTAGCCTTGCCCGGATGGTACAAGATCTCGCAGTCGTAATCCTTCACCACATCCAACCATCTCCTCTGTCTCATGTAAAGGTTGGGCTGATCCATAAGATACTTCAAACTCTTGTGGTCCGTGTATATGGTACACCGAACCCCGTACAGATAGTGACGCCAAATCTTGAGGGCAAACACTACTGCCCCCAGCTCCAGATCGTGGGTGGGATATCTCGTCTCATGAGGCTTCAATTTCCTCGATGCAAATGCTATTACATGCCCTCTCTGCATCAGTACCGCACCCATGCCCGTAATAGATGCATCATAATAAACCATAAAATCCTCCATTCCCTCCGGAAGGGCCAACACAGGAGCCTCACACAATCTCTGGCGTATGGTATCAAATGAGGTCTGCTGCTCGGGGCCCCAAGTAAACGCAACGCCCTTCTGGGTCAAACTGGTGAGAGGGACAACAATCTTGGAGAAATATCTGATAAATCTCCGATAGTATCCGGCCAGTCCCAGAAAACTCCTGATCTCGGTGGGGGGTCTCGGTGCTTCTCATCTCATAACTGCCTTGATCTTAGCCGGATCGACCAAAATACCATTCTGGTTAACGAGGTGTCCTAGGAAATGGACCTCTCGTAACCAGAAATCACACTTGGAGAATTTGGCATAAAGCCTCTCCGTTCTCAATACTCCCAGGACCTCTCTCAAATGCTCCTCATG